AGAGCTGCTACAAGCCCTACCAAAAAAGGAATTAATTCACAAATTCAAATCCTAATTCACCAGACTGCAATTCACAATTCCAATTCCTTTCAAAAGGAATTATTAATTCACAATTCAAAAAGGAATTGTATTTACAAGCTAATTCATAGGCCTTCTATAAACACACATTTCTTTAGTGCAATGTAACATGTTACGTATCTTGGCCTAGAAGCAAGCAAAGTGCGGGCATCATCAAGTAATACAACAATTTCAATATGTAAACTGCAATTTATACCTATCTTTACCCAAAATCGTCATAAAACCTTCATTTTCATCCCAACTTTATCTCAGGAAATTTTAGTTTCCATGACAGACCAGACTTCTGGTCAGATTCTATAATGACTCTCCTGTCATCATCACTTACAAATTGATTTTAATCAAAAGTTCCATATGAAAATTGAAATTTTATATTAAAATACGATTTTGGGTAAAATTTAATACAAAACTCGTCAGTAAAATGGCCCTACTTGACTCTGAAATATTTCCTCGCCTGTTATGTGTCCTGACTTTTATGTAAATAACTAAAACAAAAATAGTATATAAATATGAATAGTATCGAGATTATATTTTATTTAAAAAGATGCAAATAGAATTTTTACACTACACAGCGCGATTGTATAAATTCAATAGACCATTGCATTTTGACTATGCTTTTACTTATATATAACCAATTTATATACTTACTGTTTCTTTTTAACATCCTTAGCATAGCACTAAAGCATAGATTGCTAAAATTATTTATGGAGTGCATTTTGCAGAGGTAGTGTTTTCTCATTTAACATTTCTGAAAATAATTACACCTTCATATGGTAGCTTAAGCCTTTCGTGTGATTTAAGCCTTTTATACAATTCACAATTACAATTCCTTTTGTAAAAGGATTTAATTACAAGCGCTTTTATAGCAGTGCTAAAAAAAGGCTTAATTCCATTGGATTTAATTCACCAAATGGAATTAAATCACGAATTAATTTCATTTTGAATTAATTCATGCCCAGCTCTGGTTAGTACCCACCTCCGACGTCCCGTTCACCCACAATTCGAGTTTGAAGTTTTAACTCCACCACCAGTAAGATTTGGTAGGGGGTAAGTGACAACCACATTCCCTTTGTTGGTAGCATAATTCGCATTTGGTGAATTTCGCTAAAAACCCGCCACAAAATAATACTCAATTTTTAGGTACTTCTCATAACTCGAACTTTTATTGGGCACACGGGAAAGAGAGACCGTGATTCGAGCTCTAGGAAACTTTTGCGCGCCCAAAGTCGACTACCCATGGAAGAGTCACCACGTTAGTGATCCAACCTCGAGGAATTTTGTTTTTTCCTAGAGAGTCTTTAAGGGGTAGTCGAATTCGGTTCCCCAAAAGATACATTCCGATGCGAATTTTGTCACGCGGTCGCAGTAACTGGGACGACCCCTAGCAGAATAATAGTAATAATAACGGATTAATATCTCTGACCCAGTAAATCCTAGAATATTGCGATAGAAGCATATAAGTAATAAAAAACAGCCCGTCATTGTTTTAACAGTGCATAATCTAAACGAAGCTGCTTTTGCATAAACTTACGTATTGCTATGGGATAATTTCTGTGGTGTTTCCTACCCTTATGGACCCCCATCAAATGGAAGGAAGTTATTTGTTAATTTAAAATTGCATAATCTCTCGGTAAGTAAGGCGGCCTACATTTCTAAATTCTTTGGTGAATCAACTCGTTCTTTACACCGGTTACCGTTGGAGGCTGCACTATCGTTATGGTAATTCTTGGTATTATCTTTAGCTTGTTATACCTTCCCTTACCTGTTAATCTCAGCTGGATCCAGAGTAGACTAGTATGAAAGTTAAAATGTAAGTTATATTATTAGGTATGTTTACAAATAGATTTTTGGAAATATACGAGTATGTACAGTTATGTTTAACGTGCCAGGAAGGGGGGTAGCTTCTGTTGTTCTTTTCCACCCCCATTCTAAATTTAATTATGTACATTATAAAGTGGGTAGTTCATGTAAGTTCTGTTTAGTTCTTATAGTGCAAGTTAACTTCTTGGCGCTGCTATTACCAAGATAAGCTTGAGCGGAACATGGTGAAAACGATAAGAACCCTTGACAAACCTGACAACACATGTTTCTTTATTTATTTCGAACTTTTCATCGTTAATTAATCTATTGAGATTACTTCTACAAAGAATCGCAAAAGTACGAGTCTACTTTTTTTAAGTTTAGATGATGATTGTTGAGAAGCCTATTGCATTTACATCAAGATCGATAATAGCATCAGATGTGAACCACGGTCAACTTCATACTTCATAGGGAAGTTTTAACAATAGTATTCGCTTTAAAGAGATTCACATTATTACCTGTATGGGGAAAACAAATTCTGTATCTAGACAACCGTCCATTGACTTACATTCTCAATGAAAGTCTAAAACTTCCAGCTATTACTTCGACAACTGATACCGAATTCTCTACAAGAAGAAATACTTCAACTGCTACGTACTCATTTAGCGATTGTTAACATGAAACAGTGAGCAAGAGGATGCCTATGTTTATTGGAATAATAAAGTTCAAGCAATCGAACGTGTAGTCAAATCATGCCAAGAATGTAGGTATACAAATTAAGAAAAATCCTGTGGAAACTGCCCTTCATGTTAGGGTTGTAATTTTCGTGTTGGATCATATAAATTTGTTTGAAATTTAAGTCTGCATGACCTACAGAAAGGACTATAATTTTGTTTGTATCTTCTGTGACTTGTGAGGATGTTTTAGTGGTTCAAAATCAACTCTGTAGGTAACGTTTCATTAGGACTGACTTTGGCTAGGACATTGCACAATTCTTAAGAAAGTGCTTGGTTTGTAATTTTCGGGTAGATTATGTAAATTTATTTGAAATTCGGGTTTACGCATCCTGCACAGGGGGAAATATTATTTTTTAATGGGCCAATTTTTTTAATCGTCTGTAGGGTTCGAAAGTAACACTGCAACAGCGTACAGGAAGAAGGAAGTCACGCGTTCTAACATCATTTAGTGATAGAGGCTTGTAATTCTATTGATAGATCATATAAATTTGCTTGAAATTCGGGTCTGGATGACCTACACCTTCTAGTATCCATTGAATAAATGATTGCCCATTAACGTAGACTATTATAGGGATATAATTTTTGTATAGGTACACAATTTTTTTAAATCTTTTATAGAGTAGCTATGTTGTGGTTGTTCAAAAGTAGCACTGAACTTGTGCTTAAAAGTGCTACTTTTCGTTGCATTAAAATTGCACAATTTTAAAGAAAAAAGTCAATGTAAAATTTGTAAAGCCAAGTGAGACCTATGTACTTAAATGTAGTATGTGATCTTGTGCAATGAACTTATGATTTACGTGACACTTAAATGACGCTTGACTTGACTTTATTTTCGGGGTAAATGAAATAATTTTGTTTGAAATTCCTTTTGGATAAATAATAATAACTTACGAGTTCGAATATACACGTTTTCTATACACTCGCAGACCTGTTTTTGGGGAACACCAAAAACCATAAAAAAACAAACCGAAATCGCTTCAATGGTCATTATCAGTAGAAACTTGTGATGTGCCGATGATAATTTTGGATCGAAAACGCTTTCGTGCTGTTGGTTTTTTGTGACTTTTGGGTTCTTTCTTTCGGATTGTTTTAGATTTTTATTATAAAACTTAACAAACATAATATTGATATTCATTATTCTAAAAGGTCCAACAGAACCTGCTTATAGGAGTTTAAATTCGTGCTGGATCTCCTATTCAGTTTGGGTTTGTTGTGTATAGGTACTTTGTAAAAAGCGTAATAAATTGTAGATCCTTTAAATTACCATGAAATACCCAACAGAAACAAACGTCTCATTGCACGTCTTAATTTCCCGATATCTATCAAATAACTGTTGGGCGGACCAACTTCCATGACCAAATCTCTTTGGAATTCGGAACTATACCTACAAAGTGCACAACCTATGTCAAATGAGCATCCAAGCGATAGAATAATTGGCCATTAGATATCCCATACACATACTGTGCATTCTACAAGTACATGTGTATAATAATTCTGCCAAACTGATCATATTGCAATGATCAGCTTTTACATGCTAGTCTAGGAAAAAAACATGTGTAGGTAAATGACTGCAAAAGGTTATGGTAACATTCCAAATTATTTGCAGGTCATGCAAAGGCGACCATGTTTATGCTGTTGTTTTTGTTTCTCAATTAAGACTTTCTTTATGGAAATTTTCAGACTCATCAGCTAAAGTAATTCCGCAAAATGTCTTCCGCTATCTAGATGAAGTAATAGCCTGCATATGTACCGTTCTTTAGCCAGCCATCTTCATTCAGTGGATATTCCCAAGTACTAAGGTAAAACTGCAACCAATATTAAATGTCAGCAGCATCAGTGTCTCCAGTGGAGATTGGACAGTTCATTACATCGCATTGCAAGATGATCACTATCGACGTACAGTGACCAACAACATAAATAAATGGAAAGAAAGTTGTAATTGCTGCCTATAACAAAAATTTTCTTGATTTCATAAGACACACTACATAACGAGCACAATTACAGCGGTAACCGAAGTAGGAAAGAAACATTAGAAGATCATTCCTTTTCGATCATCCTGTATAGAAGCGTTTTGAAGAAAAACGTGGCCACATCGCAATCTTGCAAGCGGCAACTCGGCGCACTTTGATCTTTTATTAGAAAAGAAAAGGAAAAGAAGCAACGGCATTCCCTTTCTTCTGTCACTATTCACTTGTTTAGATGCAAATTTCGTACTTCAGCTTCGATTCGGAATAATAAAATCACGAAATCAACTGTGGTTAATTTTCGAAATATTCTTAGACTGACCTCAGATAAACTATTGCACGTTAGTTTCATCCAGGGTTACATAAACGAACGTTGTCACTTCACGATTTAATTTTAATAAAATGATGAACCTATAGAATAGTTTCTTCGGTAATAAATCGACGAATTCGAGTTTGACCTCATTAGCACGCAAACAAACCTCAATCATTATCAGTAGTGCCATAAAGCGACAACTAACATAAACATTTTTCCGATAAAATAGATAATTCGAGATTCTTTCCAACTCATAACTTTTTCAAGATGGTTATTCAAAGAGTGATTCCACGTGTCGCTCTACTTATCAACCACTCAACAACACTGAATAAAGCTTACAATTCGCGTAATGTAGTTTTGAGGTTAATCAGCACAAGTCAATGCAATTTCGCAGGTAAGACAGGTAACTGCCACCTTGATTTTTTATTTAGACTTTTTGTGTTCGCAGAGCGTTACTTCACAAAGAAACACGAATGGGTGGAGGTTGAGGGAAAAATCGGTATCGTCGGAATATCAGATTACGCGCAGGTAAGCAACTTAAAACGTAGAAGAGATTGAATCACGTGGTTACAGAGTGCGCTAGGAGATGTTGTCTATGCTCAACTGCCAGATGTCGACAGCGTACTCTCACAGAAAGGTAAAATCTTTGCGTCTTACAAAATTTACTAAATCGGCCTCTTGCAGACGAGTGCGGAGCGTTAGAAAGTGTCAAGGCAGCTAGTGAATTGTACAGTCCTGTATCAGGGCGTGTGGTAGAAAAAAATGAGAGCGTGGAAGAAACGCCATCTCTTATTAACACGTCGTGCTATGATAAAGGTATACTTAAGGCTCTTCGGTAGATGATTCTCTATGTTTGATTAATTTTAGGTTGGCTCTTTAAAGTTGAGCTTACAAATGATAAAGAAATAACGGCACTAATGAATGAATCTCAATATAAAGAATTCTTAAAGTCTGATGAACACCATTAATAAAAAAGTTAAATGTGAAATCATTATTCATAACTTGGTAAACGTACTTTGTACATATTACACTGAATAGAATTATCTTTATCGTTGTATTTTAATTGCAACATCGTCGATTGCGCGCTTTCAGCGGCTATCGTTGTCACCAACCTTTGCAATATTTTGATTATCAATTAAAATTATGTGTCTGTCCCAAATTTTTGACACACACTAGTGCAGGAAGTCTATTCCAGGAATTTGACCGCTGCCACTGGGAGTTCACCTCTGGATTTCAACTGCGCTAGGTGTTTCAGCGTCAGACACACAAGCGGACGCAAACTCTAAATTATCATTGAATAAAAAATCTTTTATTCAATGATATTATCATTGTATATGATATTATGTAATAAAGTAACAAATTTTTAAGAAAAAAGTCAATCGTCCTGGTAAATCACTTCAATTGGTTTGAAAATCGGCTCTAAAAGACCTTAGAAAAGGTTATAATGTTTTGGTTGTCTGTAGGGAAAGTTATTCAAAAGCAACTTCGCAACAGCGTGGCTGATCATTGATTAAAATAACACCATTTTTGAGAGGAAAGTCGAACGTTCCAACCTTCAGTTATTAATGCTAGGGTTGCAATTCATATCTGCACACCCTATAGAAAGGGTTACACTTTTTGATACACCATTTTTGGTAAAATATGCGATTTGATTTGATGTGTGTTGCTAAACCAACGAAACCATACCTTATTGTTTCTATTGCTCATTTAGTGATAATGATCTAATGGTGATGAACTTATGATAATGATTGTAAATTAAACCATTAGTGAGTAAAGCCAACTCTCAGCTGCGCTTGAAGGAGTAACTTCTCATTGTATTAAAATAACACAGATTTTTGAAAAAATTCAATCGTCATGAACTTCAATTAGTGATAAGGTAATTATTTTATTGTTCCTTTACACATATTAGTCTCTTTTGAAAAACAAAATCTTAAAATATATACAATACGAGGCTTGTTCAATTGCAACCCATCTGTGGTCAGCCCTAGCAACACAGTTCTGTATAAAAGCGTTTATCGTAAACTAAAACCCTACGTATACAGTGATATTCATGTAGAAGTAGACATAGGTCCTATAGGAATTTCCTACGTCTACTCTCTTTGAAGGACGCCTAACTTTATGCAACCTAAATAACTATCTACAACAAATGAAGATCTGCCTGTCATATTAATTAATTTGAATATTATCGTCCGTATTCGAATTTTCGTTCGTGTGCGATGTATTCAACTAAAGACAAAGTTGATATTTAATTCCAATTGGTAAAGTGCCAGTAACAGTTAAAGGAGCTAAATGAGCTTAAAGCTCTATAAGCGATGCAGGCCTATGGTATATTACTACTGCCTACCTACATAGGTAGGTACCTACTGTAATTTTCAAGATGCCTACCTACTCCTTTACTCCTTGTTGAACTGTTGGTATTTCAGAAACGGCAAAAAATTATTTACAGTACATAATACTTTTAATTATTAATAAATAGGTACTTTTGTTTTTGTTACTATTTAATGAAAATACAAATTTAGCAACTAGATAACAATATTGAGCATTTGTAATAAAGGGTACCGACGTGATTTCGGAGACGCAAAATCGTTTACAAATTGGTCCAAGTTTTTAGTTTCTTCACATTCCACAGCCATCAACACCAAGGATTCAGGGAGAAAAGGATTTCATCAACAATCGGTGTTCTTAATAAGTTCTTTCCTCGTTTCAATACTGAAAAGAAACCTTTCATTTCCCTCAGTTGCAATAGAGAAGGTAGCAAATATCTGAAAGCCAAATACATTACATTTCTATTACCTATAAGGAGGTACGTGTGTATTTTGATTTTTGATTTTTTAGGATACTGGGGGAGGGGGGCACGGCCCTCTTCAACCCTCTGAGGTGTATTGAATAGGTACTACATCAACAGACAGAAATTAATTAATTTATTTGTTTAACCAGACACCATACAGAATAAAAATTCCAATTACATGGCAGTGGCCAGTGGGGCTCTGAACATACATTAGGGCTTATAGTCAGGGAGACATATCTGAACAAGGCTCTCTAAATCATGTCTAACGGCGTTTTGTGCTACAAACTGGCAACAGGCGGTTTTAGACTAATTTGCCCCCGCTGAGAACGATACGCCCTGTTGCCAGACCCGATTTTGACATTTAAGCCCTTAAATCCAAGATGGCGGCCAAAATTGCCGTTTTTTCGTTTATTTCGAGCCCACGAGGCAGCCACTGAACGTTTTGGGTAGTTTAATGGTAGAATAACATCTATTACACACGACGACACCGTTTAGGCACACTTTCGTATTCATATTAAGGGCGTAAATGCCTAAACTCCGCTTAAAAACGTCAAAAATGCAAAAATTCATCATTTTTTTTCTTTCTGACCGGTTGTCGGCGTCCAATATGCATTCATATGGTCAAGTTAACATTTAAGTATGTGGGGACCTCCAGCCTAGGGCCTAAATATCAAGATGGCGCCTGGAAAGTTCAAAAACAGTGAAAAAGTCGTTCTTTTTGCCGTATTTTTACTACACTGGCCACTCTTTACGTTCGCTGTTCATTTTGGTGTTCTGGAACATTATTATGATGAGTAATTGCGACTGCCACCCCGGACGTAATACACCCCCGCGAGAGGGGGGTGGAATTATCATCTCCAGCCGAACGGATTCGCGAAACTTTCAATCAGTGCACTCGCGTGTTGTTGTGCATCTTCGTCGGCGCCGCTCCTGAAGTTCGTCTGTGTCGCTTCGATGGCGTCTTCCACCTACGCCCGATGTTTCATTTAATATTAAAAGTCAATTAATTTTACATGTACCTAAGATTACATTCAATGAAGATATTTTTTAATGTTATTGTTTAATTGTCATCGTTTTTTTCCCCATGCTGCCTTTCAAATTTTGCATTGTGTAGGTAGGTACTTCTAAAATATTTTAACAAGTTTTATTCTGTAATTTCCTTAAGCCAGAAGATGACCGTTGGTCGAAACTAGTCGCGGCTTTTACAATTTGTCTATTAAAATAGTATGGGGAATGTTTTGCGTTTTTTTGGGATTTAACGACTCACTCTAACATTTACATTAACATTAGGTAAGCTCGTTCATACTAATTCAACATGATATCACATTACCTACATTCTAACGCATGAAGATGCTCTATTCAAACGTTAGGCCACATCTCTATTGATCGTAGAATGGTGCTCATGTCTTCATTCACGGTGATGACTTCCATTTGACTGTTTCAGTTTTCCCTAGGCCATGCAGCATGAATCATCCTCTGGTGGTGATTTTAACAGTAGGTACCTACTATGTGTAATATGCCAAAAACAATCCCGAGAGAAAACGTCAGTGCTTCAAGAGACAACGTTTAACTCTAACGTCCTTATTCTTGCATAGTACCTTCTTCATAGTATTAGTGCTCAATATTCTAAACAGTTTCGACTGACAAGTGTTACATTTTAATTTAAAAAAATCAAAGAAAACTTGGGAAGCATGTTTTAATATATTTGCCCTCAAATTACGCCGCCAAACCAACTTCTGCCGCTTGGTTCCATAGTTAAAGTTTATAGGAGACGAGTCCCCACTTCCGCAGTTAAGCCCTTCAGTTGTGTAACATCTAGAATGATATTCGCAATTCGCATATTATTGCTCCAGGCTATCGAAATGGGGAATGTGTGGTCCGTATAGTAAAAATACGGCAAAAAGAACGACTTTTTCACTGTTTTTTGGACTTTCCAGGCGCCATCTTGATATTTAGGCCCCAGGCATATGGTGCTGCTGGAGGTCCCCACATACTTAAATGTTAACTTTACCATATGTATACATATTGGACGCCGACAACCGACCAGAAAAAAAATAACGAATTTTTGCATTTTTGTCGTTTTTAAGCGGAGTTTTGGCATTTAGGCCCCTAATATGAATACGAAAGTGTGCCTAAACGGTGTCGACGTGTGTGCTAGATGATATTCTACCCTTAAACTACCCAAAACGTTCAGTGGCGTGCCTTGTGGGCTCGAAATAACCGCAAACGGCAATTTCGCCCGCCATCTTGGATTTAAGGGCTTAAATGCCAAAACCGGGTCTGACAACAGGGCGCATCGTTTTCAGTGGGGGCAAATTAGTCTAGAACCGCCTGTTGCCAGTTTGTTGCATAAAACGCCGTTAGACATGCACTTTTCAGAAATGTCTCCCTGACTATTAAGATCTAATTTGATTTATTAAGTATGTATTACATTTATCGTGAAGAAAGTCGATTTTATTCACCTTTCCAATCAAAGCTCAATATATTCAATGCAGCATGTCGTTCGATTATCTGTTATGCGGCACAGGTCTGGGGCTTCTTAAGCTACGACTCAGTAGAGACGCCATTTAAATTCTTTTTTAAAAAGTGTTTCAATCTACTAAGGAATACCCCGGATTACCTTATATACCTGGAAACTGATCTTTACCCAACTTACTTATACACACTCTACTTACATTTTAATTATATCAAACGGTGTCACAAAAAATTTCCGGCCACACGATACCCCAAGAAATTAGGACAAGAGATCATTAAAAGTTTATTTCATCAGGGAACAATACAGGGTGAAAGCAGTTAACAGTACAAGGCATCCACTATACATATAAAGAACTAGACCAAATAAATAAAATTGTATACTCTAAGTTTGATCCAAATTATATTAGTTGGTTATTGAAAGTTAGGTGGGAGTTTAATAGCCGATTTCTTATTAATCGTAGTATTAAGGTTATGCTTTGTGAATCCTTAGTGCTTTCCCAATTTAACTATTGTGATAGTGTGTATGGCCCATGTATCGACAAAAGAGACTGCAATCGAATTCAGAGAATGTAGAATTCTTGCCTTAGACTAATATTTGGTATCCGAAAATACGACCGGATTACACATAAATTAAAATCCCTCCAGTGGCTTGATATGAACAACAGAAGAATATTACATTCTGCCTGTTTGTTCCATGGCATACTTCAAACCAAAACTCCGTCAAATTTATTTGAAAAGGTAACATACAGAGCTGACGTCCATAATGTCAATGTTAGAGATCGGTTTTTTATAACTATACCTACTCACAAAACGTCACTATTTAAACGCTCCTTCAGTTACAATATTGCAAAGACGTATAATGAATTACCATCTCATTTAAAACATTTATCCGAAAGTCTTTTTAAAAAACGCTTGCGCCTCATACTCCTTGCAAGGCAGCATTAAGTTCCATCGTTAATATCATTATTGCTATAATTTTTTTTTTCTTTTTACATTTTTTTTTTTCTTTTTAGGTTTTCATTTGTGCCTTCATACTGAATGGTTTTTATTATCATATAGTTTTTTCTTGCTAGGTTTTTTTATGTCTTGGTCTCTTGTTGTTAATTTCATATGTAGGGGGTTGAGTGGTAGAGCAGACGGAATAACACGGTTTATTCCAGTCTGAACTTCGCCCTATTGAGTCACACGTTATGTAATGTAATGTATAATATCTGTTCTTTGTATGGTGTGTGCTCAATAAATGTCATTATTATGTCATTATTAGTTACTATATTTAAATAAATATAATTATAAAGAAATAAAATGTTCAATATGTAATGGTAATCAAAAATGCTGATACTCGTTTTTGGAATAGATATAGAGATTTTTTATATATAATAAAAAAGTAGTCAAACTACAAAGTAATGTAAAGTATTACATGAGAAAAATGCAGCAAATTGTCGAACTGAATCACCTTATGTTGGATATGATGTCACATTCAGCAATTATAACTATTGATGCTGAGGTAGATTTAATGGATAAATTCAGCTCGCAATACTATAAAATAGAATTCCGTTTTGACAATTTAAACTTTAAAAATCCGTCTCAATTAAGAAATTAGAATCAAAAAGCAAGCTTAAAATTAGCAAGCTAAAATTTCGTCAATATGCTGGTGATTTGAAAAGATGGATCGGCTTCTGGAATCAATTTAGTCGAATAGATGATAATTAATCTGACATGGTGGAGGAGTATAAATTTCAGTATATTATTAAGGCAAGAAAAATTGTAGAACATTACCCTGCGACAAAAGGTATTGAATTGAATTGAATTGAATTGAATTTATTGTATGCATTACGCCTTAGGAGGCATTTACACTTGTCAACAATGTAACATAATAACAACGATACCTATAAAACATAACACAATTAATATTAATAACCAACTACATAAATCACAATAATACAATCATATCAGTTCCATCTTATAGCTAGATTCCAGAAACTCCTCATGGGAGTAAAAAGCACTAGACATCAGATAGTTTTTTACTGTTGTTCTAAATTTTTTTAAACTTGCAGATCTAACATACATCGGAATGCTATTAAACAAACTTTGAGATTGGTAAATTAAACCATTTTGAGTGATGGTGAGTCGACAAAATTTGTTCCTAATATTATTCGAGTGTTGTGATAATGCAGGTCAGATTGGTAACTATAATTACAGAGATTAGACCTAGCATAACATACTGCCAAAGCCATTGATCGCCTTTAGTAGAGAGGATTTATTGATTGAGGTGTATGTTAGGAAACTCCTCAAGATACTTTTAGCAAATCTCAATACCAACAATAAGCTTTCGACATTTTCTGACAGAATTGACTTTTGAAATAGTAGCCCAATCTTGGAACTGTTT